TAATAATAATAAATCCTGTATAATAATAATAAATCCTGTATAAATAATAATAATAATAATAAATAATAAATCCTGTATAATAATAATAATAATAATAATAATAATAAATCCTGTAATAATAATAATAATAATAATAATATATATAATACATTCTGTATAATAATAATAATAATAATAAAAAATCCTGTATAATAATAATAATATTAATAAATCCTGTATAATAATAATAATAAATAATAATAATAATAATAAATCCTGTATAATAATAATAATAATAATAAATTCTGTAAATAATAATCTGTATAATAATAATAATAATAATAATAATAATAATAAATAAATCCTGTATAATAATAATAAATCCTGTATAATAATAATAATAATAATAAATCCTGTATAATAATAATAAAGTCTGTATAATAATAATAATAATAATAATATAATAAATCCTGTATAATAATAATAAAAATCCTGTATAATAATAATAATAATAATAATAATAATAAATTCTGTATAATAATAAATAAAATCCTGTATATAATAGTAATAATAAATTTCTGTATAATAATAACAATAATAATAATAATAATAATAATAATAATAAATTCTGTATAATAATAATAAATAAATAATAATAATAATAATAATAATAATAATTAATGTAAATAATAATAATAATAATAATAATAATAATAAATCCTGTATAATAATAATAATAATAATAATAAATCCTGTATAATTATTTATGTCTTATACCTTACAGCAAGGAGGGGCCACAGAGCCTGAAACATGACTCGACCTTACATCACAGTTCTTTCCTCCTCCATTTATTCTTCTTATTCACTTCTATTAAAGAGGACCTGTATTGTGAAAACTGAACGCAAGAAAGGCAAGCAAAGGACTACTCACCGTCATCGAATGTTGGCTCCAGCAGGGCCATTTTATAACTTAGTTACATAGTTAGTCTGGCTGAAAAAAGACAAAAGTCCATCAGTTCAACCAATAAAAAATAAATATATAAAAAAATAAAAAAAAGTCATAATCCTACACCCACAGTTGATCCAGAGGAAGGCAAAAAAAAAAAAAAAACAGCAAAGTATGATCCAAATTGTTACATAGTTAGTCTGGCTGAAAAAAAGACAAAAATCCATCCAGTTCAACCAATAAAAAATAAATAAATAAAAAGTTATAATCCTACACCCACAGTGGATCCAGAGGAAGGCAAAAAAAAAACCCAGCAAAGCACGATCCAATTGCTCCTGCAGGGGAAAAAATTCCTTCCTGACCCCCCGAGAGGCAATCGGATATTCCCTGGATCACCTTTCCCTATAAATGTTATATCCAGTTATATTCTGTGTATCCAAGAAAGAATCCAGGACTTTCCTCCAGCAATCCACTGAGCTGGCCACACCAACTCTGGAGGGAGTCTATTCCACATTCTCACAGCTCTTACTGTGAAGAAACCTTTCCGTGTTTGGAGATGACATTTCTTTTCCTCCAGACGTAAAGAGCGCCCCCTTGTCCTCTGTGATGACCTCAGGGTGAAAAGTAAGCTCGAATTTCTAATTTGTAGGTTCTAAAAACTGTTCAGTCAAACGTAGCTTCTTGTACGCACCCAAAAGTGGAAAGAATACGTAGACTTTCTGTATTTGGTAGGGCAGCTACCACTACAGAAAGTAGTACTCAATCAGAAACCTTTTCATGTTTGGAGAGGCAAAGTCATGCACTGGGGCCCCTACCAGCCGGCCCCAACTGACGCACGTACTGTCAAGAATTAAAGTATAAAAAGTTGATAGAATAACATATAATTTGATTAGTACTCTAATTGTTTTTTTTTCAGGTACTTATAGCGCCGTCAATTTACGCAGCACTTTACATATATATTGTACATTCACATCTGTCCCCGCCCCCCCTGAGGAGCGTACAATCTAAGGTCCCGACCGCACATTCATACATACACATAATAGGGCCAATTTAGACAGGAGCCAATTCACCACCCAGCATGTCTTTGGAGTGTGGGAGGAAACCCACGCAGGTACAGGGAGAACATGCAAACTCCAGGCAGGTGGTGCTGTGGTTGATTTGAACCAACAACCCCAGTACTGCCAGGTGGACAGCACAGAGACCAGGTTCCAGGATCAGCAAGGATCCTGACAATAATGTCGGGATCTGCCCAGATGCCTGACCGGCAGCTGGCTCAGCCTCTCAGTGCATTGCTGAGAGCCTGAGCCAGCTGATCCCGCCCCCTCCACAGCTTGGCACTCCAGTGAACGCTGGAGGGGCAGAACACAGAGCTCCGTGCTAAGAGCAGACTTTCAAACTAATCAATCAAGGGTCTTCGATGGCTCATTTCTCGATGTAGAGGCAGTGGGGGACAGCTGCAACATCGCATTGATGCTGCAGCCATCTAGGTGAGTATAGTTGGTTATTACTTTTTATTTCTCTTTTAATAAAGAATCCCCCATCAGATCCAGGAGTGCCCATCGGAGTCCCCCATCTACATCCTGAAGTACCCAGTAGGTTCCCCTTATATCCAGGAGTGCCAGTAGAGTCCCCCCTTTACATCCAGGAGCTCAGTTCAGACTTATACATCCAGGAGTGCCCAGCAGAGTTCCCCCTTATATCCAGGAGTGCCCAGAACAGTTCCCCCCTTATATCCAGGAGTGCCCAGAACAATTCCCCCCTTATATCCAGGAGTGCCCAGAACAATTCCCCCCTTATATCCAGGAGTGCCCAGAACAATTCCCCCCTTATATCCAGGAGTGCCCAGAACAGTTCCCCCCTTATATCCAGGAGTGCCCAGAACAGTTCCCCCCTTATATCCAGGAGTGCGCAGAACAGTTCCCCCCCTTATATCCAGGAGTGCCCAGAACAGTTTCCCCCTTATATCCAGGAGTGCCCAGAACAGTTCCCCCCTTATATCCAGGAGTGCCCAGAACAGTTCCCCCTTATATCCAGGAGTGCCCAGAACAGTTCCCCCCTTATATCCAGGAGTGCCCAGAACAGTTCCCCCCTTATATCCAGGAGCGCCCAGAACAGTTCCCCCTTATATCCAGGAGTGCCCAGAACAGTTTCCCCCTTATATCCAGGAGTGCCCAGAATAATTCCCCCCATATATCCAAGAGTGCCCAGAACAGTTCCCCCCTTATATCCAGGAGCGCCCAGAACAGTTCCCCCCATTATATCCAGGAGTGCCAGAACAGTTCCCCCCTTATATCCAGGAGTGTCCCAGAACAGTTCCCCCCTTATATCCAGGAGCGCCCAGAACAGTTTCCCCCCATATATCCAGGAGCGTCCAGAACAGTTCCCCCCCATATATCCAGGAGTGTCCAGAACAGTTCCCCCCTTATATCCAGGAGTGTCCAGAACAGTTCCCCCCTTATATCCAGAGTGCCCAGAACAGTTCCCCCCTTATATCCAGGAGAGCCCAGAACAGTTCCCCCCCTTATATCCAGGAGAGCCCAGAACAGTTCCCCCCTTATATCCAGGAGTGCCTAGAACAGTTCCCCCTTATATCCAGGAGTGCCCAGAACAGTTCCCCCCTTATATCCAGGAGTGCCCAGAACAGTTCCCCCTTATATCCAGGAGTGCTCAGCGGAGTTCCCCCCCCCCTTTATATCCAGGAGTGCCCAGAACAGTTCCCCCCTTATATCCAGGAGTGCCCAGAACAGTTTCCCCCTTATATCCAGGAGTGCCCAGAATAATTCCCCCCATATATCCAAGAGTGCCCAGAACAGTTCCCCCAGTTCCCCCCTATATCCAGGAGCGCCCAGAACAGTTCCCCCCATATATCCAGGAGTGTCCAGAACAGTTCCCCCCTTATATCCAGGAGCGCCCAGAACAGTTCCCCCCTATATCCAGGAGCGCCCAGAACAGTTCCCCCCATATATCCAGGAGTGTCCAGAACAGTTCCCCCCATATATCCAGGAGTGTCCCAGAACAGTTCCCCCCTTATATCCAGGAGTGCCCAGAACAGTTCCCCCCTTATATCCAGGAGAGCCCCAGAACAGTTCCCCCCTTATATCCAGGAGAGCCCCAGAGAACAGTTCCCCCCTTATATCCAGGAGTGCCTAGAACAGTTCCCCCTTATATCCAGGAGTGCCCAGAACAGTTCCCCCCTTATATCCAGGAGTGCCCAGAACAGTTCCCCCCTTATATCCAGGAGTGCTCAGCGGAGTTCCCCCCTTATATCCAGGAGTGCCCAGAACAGTTCCCCCCTTATATCCAGGAGTGCCCAGAACAGTTCCCCCTTATATCCAGGAGTGCCCAGAACAGTTCCCCCTTATATCCAGGAGTGCCCAGCGGAGTTCCCCCTTATATCCAGGAGTGCCCAGAACAGTTCCCCCCTTATATCCAGGAGTGCCCAGAACAGTTCCCCCCTTATATCCAGGAGTGCCCAGAACAGTTCCCCCCTTATATCCAGGAGTGCCCAGCGGAGTTCCCCCCTTATATCCAGGAGTGCCCAGAACAGTCCCCCCCCTTATATCCAGGAGTGCCCAGAACAGTCCCCCCCTTATATCCAGGAGTGCCCAGAACAGTTCCCCCCTTATATCCAGGAGTGCCCAGAACAGTTCCCCCCTTATATCCAGGAGTGCCCAGAACAGTTCCCCCTTATATCCAGGAGTGCCCAGAACAGTTCCCCCCTTATATCCAGGAGTGTGCCCAGAACAGTCCCCCCCTTATATCCAGGAGTGCCCAGAACAGTTCCCCCCTTATATCCAGGAGGGCCCAGCGGAGTTCCCCCTTATATCCACATGTGGCCATTAGAGTCTCCCCTTAACATCCATGTGTGCCTAGCAGTGTCCCAGATCTGGCCAGTAGCACACCTCCTGTATTAGAACACCCCCACTCTGGAGGAAGGAGCATGGGGGGGGGGGGCACAGCAGATTTAGATACACTAACACATTGAAGCCAAACTTCAGCACACACTTTATAATCCGTTACATTAGTATTATTATTATTATTATTATACAGGATTTATATAGCGGCAAGAGGTATGCTCAGCGCTGTACATTACAGAGGGGGACAGTACATGAGACAAGACAGTAACAATACAATACACGAGGGGTTAGAGGGCCCTGATCCTTGGAGCTTACAATCTAGGAGGGAGGGGATAGTGGTACAGGAGGAAGTGGCTGTGGGGGATGGAGTGGTAGGAGGAGAGGAGGAGATCAGCTGTTAGGTGAGGGTGGGGTAGGCTTCGATGAAGAGATGGGTTTTCAGGGTGCGCCTAACGGTGAGGAGGTAGGTGACAGTCTGATGGATTGGGGTAGTGAGTTCCAGAGTATGGAGGAAGTCCTGGAGAAGTCCTGCAGTTGGGCGTGGGAGGAGGAGACCAGAAAGTAAGAGGTCTTGTGAGGAGCGAAGAGTACGGGTTGGGTGGTATTTGGGTATCAGGTCAGTGAGGTAGTTTGGGGCGGAGTTATGAATGGCTTTGTATGTCAATGTTAGTAGTATGAATTTAATGCACTGGGCAATCGGAAGCCAGTGGAGGGAATGACACAGGGGGGTGGAGGACACTGAGTGGAGGCCAGTGGAGGGAATGACAGAGGGGGGTGGAGGACACTGAGTGGAGGCCAGTGGAGGGAATGACAGAGAGGGGTGGAGAGGACACTGAGTGGAGGTCAGTGGATGGATTGGCAGAGGGGGGTGGAGGACACTGAGTGGAGGTCAGTGGAGGGATTGGCAGAGAGGGGTGGAGGACACTGAGTGGAGGTCAGTGGATGGATTGGCAGAGAGGGGTGGAGGACACTGAGTGGAGGCCAGTGGATGGATTGGCAGAGGGGGGAGGACACTGAGTGGAAGCCAGTGGAGGGATTGGCAGAGGGGGGAGGACACTGAGTGGAGGCCAGTGGAGGTATTGGCAGAGAGGGGTGGAGGACACTGAGTGGAGGCCAGTGGAGGGAATGACAGAGGGGGGTGGCAGATACGGAGCGGTTGGTGAGGTGGATGAGTCTGGCCGCTGAGTTCAGGATAGACTGAAGCGGGGATAGTCTGTGATGAGGTAGGCTGGTGAGGAGGGAGTTGCAGTAGTCCAGACGTGAGATAATAAGGGAGTGTATGAGTAGTTTAGTAGTGTCTGGGGTTAGGAACGAACGTATTTTGGAGATGTTGTGGAGGTGGAGTCTGCATGAGTTTGCCAACGATTGGACATGGGGTTGGAAGGACAGGTTTGAGTCTAGAGTGACACCTTGGACTTTGGCTTGCGGGGTGGGACTGATGGTGGCGTTGTTGGTCGTGATGGAGAGGGGGGGGGGGGCGGGGCGGGCTGGGGGGAAAACTTGGAGCTCGGTTTTGGAAAGGTTCAATTTGAGGAAATGGAGCGACATCCAGTCTGATATGTCGTTCAGTAGGTGTGTGATTCGGGCGGAGACTGAAGAGATGAGGTGGGGGGTGGAGAGGTAAATTTGCATGTCATCGGCGTAGAGGTGGTAGTTGAGGCCGTGGGAGTGTATCAGTTTGCCGAGGGAGGAGGTGTAGATGGAGAAGAGAAGGGGCCCGAGGACAGAGCCTTGGGGGACCCCAACAGAGAGGGGGAGAGAGGGGGAGGTGGCAGCGTTATAGGTAACAGTAACAGTTTTGTTCCTTTTGGGATAAATGTTTTTTAACAATAAGTAAAAGCCGATCATTGTAGGCACCCCTGCCAGTAGTAAATGGTTTACAGCATGTTCTTTGGAAAAACAACAGAATTACTGGCCAGCTCACCAGGTGAAAATAAAGGAAGTAAAACGAATGCAGCCATCCCATCTAATGATCGGTAAGCTGCAAAACAATAAATGTTTGTTTTTGGGTTTAAACCTGAAGCTGAATCCAGGCAGTGACTGTGGCCGGACCTTCAATAATAAGCCGACCACCATTGGGGCCCAGATCACCGCGATGCACTCATCTGTCTTCATGATTTTAGCACACGCCAATCTTCTCATCATTTCCAAGCATACAAAAAAACATACAGCTCAGTAATTAAAATACCACAAGAATTCTGTTTTATTGAACTGACCCGCCAATGATCCAACTTCTGAAACTGAGCAGAAGAGCGATGTCAGTAGATGGGGGGGCTGAGAAAGTCTGTGAACACATCTACAGGGGCCCCAGAGGTAAGGGAGCCACCAGTGGGGTCACCAAAGTACATCGCATGGAGTGCTATCACCACCATGGAACATGTTCTACTGTCTGGGATCAAAAATACATTTTTCAGTTTTTTTTTTATTTATTTCTGTATTATTTTGTTATTTACTACTTTGCCCCCCCCGCCCCCAATTCACCCCCTATGGAGCAGAGACATTTTTGCATTCCTGCTATGGATCTGTTCATTCAGCAGTAACTTTGTCATTACTGAAGACATACATACAAGAAACAAGTGCGCTTCCAGACAAATCAAACAGAGAGATACCAAACAACTAAAAATGTAGGCATAGAACAGAGGTAGGCAACCTCTCCATGGACCATACCATGGAGGAAATCAAAGAACTCCAGGGGATGGGGGGGGGGGGGGGCTGGTTGTGCGTTGTTGCCGCCCTTTAAAAAAAAAAATTAATAAAGTCCCCAATAAAAACACCTAGTGTGTCACCACAATAGTGTCTTCTGCCCTGCTTTAAATCACTCCCCCCCCCCCTTAGTAGTATCATCTGCACCCCCCGACATATGTGTCCTCTGCTCCCTTTCATATCATCCCCCTCCCCAGTAATATACTATGCCCCCTGATTGTAGTGTTCTCTGCCTCCCCCACACAGTAGTGTTCACTGTCCTCCCCCCCTGTAGTGCCCTCTGCCCCCACTACAGAGTTTTTTGCCATCCCCCCCTCCACACAGAGTGGTGTCCTCTGCATCCCCCCCTACACACACGTTAGTGTTCACTGCCCCCCCTCTATAGTGCCCTTGCACCTCCCATTTCAGAGTCCTCTGCACCCCTCCCCCCACAGTAGTGTCCTCTGCCCCTCTATAACTGTCTCCTCTGCCCCCAACCGTGTGAAGGGAGCTCTCTCCTAACTTTCAGCAGCTGTACAGCAGAGTGGAGTGAGAGGCACCACAGTGCTGTATGGAGGGTGTAGGAGTGGGAGCAGGAGCTGGAGCTGGAGTGGGAATGGAAGTGGAAGTGGAAGTGGAAACAGGAGTGGGAGCAGGGGAGCTGGAGTGGGAATGGAAGTGGGAAATGGGAGTGGGAGCAGGAGCGGAAGAGGGAGTGGAAGCGGGAGTGGGAGTGGAGAAGTGGAAGCGGGAGTGGGAGCAGGAGCGGGAGTGGGAGCGAGAGCAGGAGCGGGAGTGGGAACAGAAGTGAAAGCGGGAGTGGGAGCAGGATTGGGAGTGGGAGCAGGAGTGGGGGGCAGGAGCGGGAGTGGGAGCAGGAGTGGGAAGCGGGAGTGGGAGCGGGAGCAGGAGCGGGAGTGGGAGCGGGAATGGGAGTGGCAGTGGGAGCGGGAGCAGGAGTAGGAGTGGCAGTGGGAGCGCAGGAGCAGGAGTGGGAGTGGCAGTGGCAGCGGGAGCAGGAGTGGCAGTGGGAGTGGCAGTGGGAGCGGGAGCAGGAGTAGGGAGTGGCAGTGGGAGCGGGAGCAGGAGTGGGAGTGGCAATGGGAGCGGGAGCAGGAGTGGGAGTGGCACGTAGGGTGGGAGCGAGAGCAGGAGGGGGAGTGGGAACGTGGGAGCGGGAGCAGGAGTGGGAGTGGCAGTGGGAGCGGGAGCAGGAGTGGGAGTGGCAGTGGGAGCGGGAGCAGGAGTGGAAGCGGAGTGGCAGTGGGAGCGGGAGCAGGAGTGGGAGTGGGAGCAGGAGCGGGAGTGGGAACGGGAGTGGCAGTGGGAGCGGGCAGCAGGAGTGGGAGTGGCAGTGGGAGCGGGAGCAGGAGTGGGTGAGTGGCAGTGGGAGCGGGAGCGGGAGCAGGAGTGGAAGCGGGAGTGGCAGTGGGAGCGGGAGCAGGAGCGGGAGTGGGAGTGGGAACGGGAGGGGACCCACCAGAGTTAACGCTTTGATGTTAATAAGCTGATGATTGGCTGCTAGCAGGGCTGCTGATAGAAACCACGGGGCCCCATACAGCCAACCTGACAGGGGGAGGCAATTACCGGAACCGATCCCCTGTATGGCTCTCTCTGCCAGTGGAAGCTTTCAGCTGCTGCAGAGAAAGACGTACAGGAGATCGGTTCCAGTGATTGCCCCCCCCCCCCCTGCCATGCCAATCATCTTCCTGCTCACATCTGATTCACCCAGCTGCCTGAGCCCCCTGCTGGTCTGGGCCCCATACAGGAGGACTGGTGGTATCTCCTTATCCACAGCCCTGGTTGGTAGAATTTCCAAGTAACCAATCACCTGCTGGTTTACCTTCAAAGTTAACTAAAGCAGCCGCTGCGCTCCCGCCCTCCATCCAGCCCTGTTTTGCCTCTCACTCCACCTGGACAGGAGAGTGGCAGAAGCTGTAGATGGGGGGACATCGGCACTGTGCTGATCATGACCTACCTGATGGCTTCCCGCAATCGATGGGTTGCCGACCCCGGGCATAGAAAGTCCAAAATCCAACTGCAAATTGTTGTATCAAAATTATTTCAAAAGAAAAAAACTGTCCATCCACCAAACATTTGAATGTGCAAATTCCAGCTTTCCACCGATAGAGTGACAAGCGTACATTTTGTTCTGTAATTTGTCCTGTTTAAAATGACACTAAAATTATGATTCTGGAACAAAGCGCTGCGAAGCGATCTACAAATTAAACAGTGTGGGGGTTTTTTTTTTTCAATTTTTCAAAATGTGAAACGTATAAATGTATATTAAAGGTGTAAAAAAATATTTACGAACAAAACAAAAAAAAAGGTTTAAAAATGATTGTTAATAAAACAGAAAAGAACAAGAAAAAAAAACCCAGATGAAATAAGGAGTTAATTGAGGGGGGGGGGGGGGGGCGATTAGAGTAAACTAAGGGGTTAAACAGTGGGCCATTTTATTTAAACAATTAGATTGTAAGCTCCCAGGATCAGGCCCTCCTATCCCTCTTGTATTGAACTGTATTGTTGCTGTATTATCTCCCGTTATATTGTAAAGTGCTGAGCACACTGTTGGCGCCAGAAATCCTGTATAATAAATAATAATATAATAATAATAATAATAATAAAAAACAACTCATTCACTCCCTTATTATCTCACATCTGGACTACTGCAACTCCCTCCTCACCAGCCTCCCTCATCAAAGACTATCCCCGCTTCAGTCTATCCTGAACTCAGCGGCCAGACTCATCCACCTCACCAACCGCTCCGTATCCGCCACC